TTTGGATGAAGGAATTGCCAATTACATAGAATTCTAAAATGACGGAATTTAGATTTCCGTCATTTCAATTTCTGGCAATTGAAGATTTCAGTGTTTGGATTTATGTATGCCGAATTTTGTAAATGACAGAAATTGAAAATTCAATGTTTGGATAGCTCATGTAAATTACAAATGACAAAAATTAAATATTTCGAAAGAACATAAAAACTGATAACCGACATAGAAAGTATTCTTTGAAGTATAAAATAACATATCGTTTGATGAACTAAATAACTCAACTTAAACAAACAGAGCCTATTAGCAAACCAAATCACTCCCTACGTGCAATAAACATCAGCAACATACTCTCTTTTTTCTCAATTGGGAGTGCCTTCAGCATCTGAAATTGTTTGTCATTTTCTATCAGCCAAGCACATGCTTTGAGTTGTTCATTTTCACTAAGACCTAGTATTGCTTGTACTTCATCATATACATTTGCTGGATCAAGGTTCTTAGTATCAACACGGATAAACTCTTCAAATGATAAAGCCATTCTAGCAATCGAATCAGCAATAACATCTTTGACAGCACCTCTTTTCTTTGTAGGAAGAATATCAAAAGAATTTTATGCACGATTTCTTCTCTTTTGACCATTTGTTGAGGTTGGTGAAATATCATCAATATTATGGTACTAAAGAGCATGAAACGATATAGAAAGCAGAGCAGGAATTTTGACCATTTCTTCTCATTAACATGTTATCAATATTAACAGTAGCCATACCTGTTTATATGTGTGAATTAAACAACTACAGAGCAGGAAACGATATAGAAAGTAGAGAAGACAAAAAACACAAAAACACAAAACAACTACAGAGTAAATCACGACTTCCTTTGCTGGTTTAAATGGATACCATTAAAAGGGGAATAATCTGGTTAAATCCCACATCCTCAAATTGACGAGTTTGAAACTTAACTATGGTACTAAAGTATCTCCTGAAAGCATACTTATGGTTCAAGCTTAAAGAAACATCATTAGTACTTATTACATGCTTTGCTTTGCTGCTCACTTAAGAATGCTTTTACCACAGATACTCCTCCAAAGTCCATTCTTACCTTGGTACTACGTGTCATTTTCTTTCTAAATTAGGGTATTACAGTGTTATGGATTAGGGTGGACCATAATGTTGTTACAATTATTTCAATTATTTCACAACACTTGCAGATTTTTTCATGATTCATGAGTTATGGGTTGCTTTATATAACTTGTAACCAAAAGCAATAAAACTTGGGTAACTTTATATAAATCCAATTAGCCAAACTGAAATTGTTTTTTTTACTTGTAACCAAAAACAATTTTTGAACATCTAAACTATTCTTTTTGTTTTGTTATTTCTTAAATGTGAATAAATTATTATAAGGAACTAAAATACGACTACATAGTATAACTCGTTTACGTGTTTAATATCAATCAATGATAAGATATTCAACTTTTAAAACATAATATCAATAAATATCCACTTATATTATATTTGGCTCACAGCTTTTTTATAAAGCGACAAGGCAGCTCCAAACTTGGCGCTTTTTTTTTTCACGAATATTTTGGTGTTTATTATTTATTTAAATTTTGGCACAACGGAAAATATGAATTCCCGCACTGTGAAAATTGTGAAATGACACCTATTTTGGAGGAAATTAAACTCGGGAATTTGATGTCTCAATTTCCATGATTTTTTCCGCGCGTCTGACCATACTCTGAAGCCACACTATAATTACTTCTCAAGATGACATATTATTATATAAAAATATACTGCTCCGTTTGGATGAAGGAATTGCCAATTACATAGAATTCTAAAATGACGGAATTTAGATTTCCGTCATTTCAATTTCTGGCAATTGAAGATTTCAGTGTTTGGATTTATGTATGCCGAATTTTGTAAATGACAGAAATTGAAAATTCAATGTTTGGATAGCTCATGTAAATTACAAATGACAAAAATTAAATATTTCGAAAGAACATAAAAACTGATAACCGACATAGAAAGTATTCTTTGAAGTATAAAATAACATATCGTTTGATGAACTAAATAACTCAACTTAAACAAACAGAGCCTATTAGCAAACCAAATCACTCCCTACGTGCAATAAACATCAGCAACATACTCTCTTTTTTCTCAATTGGGAGTGCCTTCAGCATCTGAAATTGTTTGTCATTTTC